CCATTAACCATGTATCACTGACATGATAGACATATACATTTGAAATTTGTCATACACAACCCTAATTTTTCTGTCTCCCGCACTGATGTTACTTAGCAAAATGTTTAAGAGTCTAAAAGATAACCCAGACTACAACATCAACTACTGGCTCAGTGAGTGCGTGTTTTGCATTTCAAATGCATTTGTCTGTTCCGCCACATTTCTAGTCTTTCCGCCACTGATCATTTCAAGAGATTTTGTCTCTCTCAGACCCCTTCACTGAATGAACTGAGTAATAGAGGAGAGAATATTACTTGATTACAATAATTACCTAGGAACAAGACCGGTTGCCACAAAATCTGATCCCACCAAGTATAATTTATGTGAGATGCAATTCTCCGCATACTTAGCACACATGGAAATGTGCTGCTAAATTCAGAGTAACATTTTGGAACAGAAAGCTTTCGAATCTTCTCATACAGCCAGGTCATAATTCATAGGTGCTGTTCTTTAAACAGCTTTGGCAAAGATTTTGCTTAGTGGAACCAAGCAAACCGAACTCACTTCTATCCTCCAGCAGCCCATCCTGACCTCTGGGATTCTGCTGTGTAATAGATGGGAGTTAAACTTCCTGTTAGGACCAACCTGGCTTTAATATCTTAAGTCTCTAACAAACATAGGACAGCGAACCAGCAAAAGGTTTGCCTTTTCTCTGATACTTAAGTCGGTTGATATTAGCTTTTCTTAGAGCTATTGGTTTTATTTATCAAATTTATAGAGTTGCCTCTTCGCCCAAAGTGGGTGGCACACAATAAAATTATTTAAAAAAACACAAGTTATAAAGCTTCATATTAATAAATATCCTATATCAGACAACCAGAGGGATAAAAATGGCCTTTTCAACAATAAGAGTCACCTGTAAAAGGTTGTAAAATCAGATTTGGTCACGCTTTACAGCTATCACCACCTATTAGCGTAATTGCCACTCAATTTCAGTCATCACAGGAGGACTACCTTAATGCCATTACACAGAGACCTAATTTAACTGCTATACCTTACTTTTTCCATTTATTAGCCTGGATCTCTTAAGCCATCGATGCACTGAATAGATTTTCGGACCAAATGTATTATTAAAAAAATCAATTTATTTATTACAACTCCATTTATGGTAATAATAAGTGAAAAAAAAGGATGAGGATCTTTATACAAGAGTTATGTACAGCTTGCAAGTAAAACATTCTTTTATTTTACAGTACAAACATTAGCGATTCGAGTGAACTGGGCTGACCAAATGTTGGTCGTCATCATATATCCTTGCAAAGCACCAATCATACAGACATTTATGAACGTATTATTTGGGTTTAAAAAAAGAAGACGACAGTGACAAAGTTTAAAAGTTACAAAAACAAAGCAAGAACATTCAAAGGTTAAAAAGCAGCACAGGATCCTTCACATAGAGCAGGGGTGGGTAACTGTAGTCCCTTTCTGGACTTCAACTCCCAGAATTCCTGAGCCAGCATGGAAAATTCTGGGAGTTGAAGTCCACAAGTTATTTAGGGGCCATAGTTGCCCAACCCTGATTTAAAGACAAGTTTTGCTTCAGCTCCCAGCAGTCTCTTTGCTCAGAGTTTTTTCACCGTTTCCCCCAAATTGTTTTTTTTTTTTAAAAAATGGCACAATTGAACAGGAAGACCAGACTTCATTTTCATTTGGGGTTGGGGACAGGGAGGAGTCTGGTCTTCCTTTCTTAGTTTGTTTAATTTTGGTGTTAAAAAGGGAATTTTTTAAACAGCCGTTTTCCATGGACAGCCTTGGTTGAAAATATTTGCAATATAAAAAGTGGGCCCTGGGATCAAATTAACCAGGACCTTTAACTCATCTATCAATGTAAAACACAAATCCTCCTTTGTAGCCTCATTCAGCACAAAACTGGATGAATCAGAACACACTTGATAATTCCTATGAGGTATTTCTTAATAGATTTGATTATGAATTAAACTTCCTAACCTGCCTATGTTTGGGACACGGGCTGAAACATTCCATTTTCCATTTATAAAAAAAAATAAAATCCATTCCTTTATAAAGATTTAACCACTGGTCAAGCTGTTTTGATTACTCTTTTTATACTTTAAAAGTATTTCACACATTTAAACCCCTTAAGTAAAATGCAGCAATGTTGTTAAGCATGCTTCCGTGGATTTTTACAGGTCATTTTTACTTAAAGCAATTAAAAATAATAATTCGAAGTGTTTTTTTAAACATTTAGTTTTTTTTGTTAATTGTTGCAGAAAGTGTCCCGTGTGTGTGTGTGTGTGTGTGTGTGTGTGTGATTTTAAGAAAGAGCATTTTAAAACCAACCAAAGCTTCCTAAAACTAGTTGTCCTCGCTTTATGTCTTCACCGAAGCAAACTAATCACTTTTTAGAATGCGAGAGAATATGAGGAGGTGCAAAATGTTGAAATAAGGTACCACAACTTTCCTTGCCTATGGACCTGCAGCTATCACACATCTGATACGCAACTAAAATTGTGGCCTATTGAAGATTTTCAAGGAGTGGCAATAAATGAGGAGACACACGCACAGCCACACCAAGACACATTATCTGCAAAGGTGGCTGCAAAAGTATACTACTTTTATAGCCTTTGATATGACCAGACTAATCAAATTCATTATGGTGGCCGCAAAGGGTTAGTAGGCCTCTTTTTCAGTGCATCTTGATGCCTGCCTTTCTTAAAAGTCTGAGGATTAATCTACCAAGTTTTCTGAGCTTGGCTGCCCGCTGAGGGTATGTCCCAGCCTGAGGAAAACATCAAGAACCCAACAATTCAGGTCTGACCTATTTGTATCTCTAGTATTGGAATGGTTCTGTTATTGGGCTCTGCAGCTTACGTTTCCCTGCTGGGATGAAATTGTTATTGCGAGAAACAAGAAATTACGGAGAACAGGAGGAAACCTAGTTATTTGCCTATTTACAGGCAAATCAAGCCTTTAAGGAAGATACTGTTTCGTTACATTTGCATGGCACCATCCCAACAGGAGGTAAACCTTGGGAATCCTTTGCCTCTAACGGAGGCAACTTCTGAGTCACAAAGCCATTAAACAAGTTTTGGAGATCCTTGATGCGAGTCAAGTCAACGTCATATAATTCTATATATATATGGTTTTTGAAAGTCCACATATCCCTAATCAATACAGCAATGAGAACACTTAGTTACAGTACTCTGTATTTATAAACGACTTGTGCCCCAAAATCTGATAAAGGTTATCAAAGTGAGGTCAATCTTATCTTCCAGGGACTGTTTAAAACCTCTGCATGTTCTTCAGTCCCAAAGTTTGCAATTCAGAGCATCCTTAATAAAAGTTTCAGCGGCTCCCTGTCTGCTTTACAAAAATAGCTGAAAACCGGTAACATTGGAGTGTTTCTCACATTTTTTTCAGTAATGTAAAACGAAGACAACTGAGCAACCTTTTTTTTTAATATTACCAAGTTAAAAAAAAAAATTAAAAGAGCTGAGAAATATTTTGACAAAGAGGAGGTTCAAAAACGGGCATTCACAGTGGTTCAGGCTTAAGGATGGAAGTTCTGCCAGACAGCAGGAAGCGGCAGGTTGAGGTCACACGCTGCAAACTCTGGCTAACTCCAAGTGAGAAGCAGCATTTCCAATCGAGGATGCAGCCAGACCGACCAAAAAAAAAGGAGTGTTTGTAAGTTTCTTGATTAAAGGGGATGGTGGGAAATAATAGCACGATTTAAAATACAAAGCTGCACGTGGCGATTCAGTGCATGTAGAATCACTGAACGAACTGCAAGAGTACATGTTCTCTTTTACATTAAACTAAGAAGTCAATGTTCACTTTCATAAATATGCCACCTATGTGTTTTACTCTTTGTGTGATTTAAATTAAAAAAAATAGGGCTCCTCTTTTGGGGCACTGAAGCCTACTGAAAAGCTGGGAGGGAAGTTTTTCAGAGGTAATTACCCTTGTCTCTGGTCTGAAAACACCAATGACGTGGTAGGAGAACTAATCCGATTGTACTGGCAGAAAGAAATGAAAATCATTTCTCGCATACACCCATTTCTCTCTTTCTCTCTCTCTCTCTCTCACACACACACACTCACTCACTCACAAAGAGCCTGTTCACCAAGGACTCAGACCCTGGGATTCTACGCAAGTAAGGAAGAAGCAGAGACCCCCAATGGTATTATCTGCTCCCTCTCCTGTTAGCAACAAAAAGGAAAATATTGGCAACAGAAGCAAAATCCCACAATTTTTGGAAGAAGAAGAGAACACGCCAATCCCTCCTCACTGAAATGGATGACTTTCCCAATCTTGCATCTTGTGTCAGGGAAGGGGTGTGTGCGTGGCCTAGCTAGGGCACTTTCTCCTCACTGGATGGCTGCTTCATAAGAAGCCACACGTTTTCCTGGGCTTGCAACGGGGTCCCCGCAGGCTCAGGGGAGCACGCGGCTGAGTCCAATAGGGTGCAGTCAGGTTGTTCCCAGGGCTCCTTAACTCAAATGTGTGTTTTTCTGGGACTCGGTGGCTGCTCCCCAAGTCCAGGAAAAGGCACCGTTTCCTGAAGGAATTGTTAGGAGGTAGGGGAGGTGCCCCCTGTCCAGATCTCAAGCATCTTTGTCTACTTTGGATCCAACTACAAGACGTTTCTACAGCCTGGGGACAAAACCACATGCAACACAATGATGGAACTTCAAAATAGGGACAAAGAGCTGGTAACATAGAACATCTGGGACCAATTTCAGGGGTGGGAGTTCCAGGTAGTGCTCAGAAGCGTGGGTGAGCATGAATTGAGTGCCCCGACCGCTCCGTTTTTGTAGAAAACCAAGTTCTTGGTGTACCGCGCTATCTCAACGGCTTTCCTCAAGCTTAATTTAATTGCTCACCTGTCAGAATAAAAAACATTAAGTTACTCAGCTCTTTGCAGATATTTTTAAATGATGCTTTGTGGCGCAGGTCCTTTCATTTTTTTCTTTGTTTTTTTTCCTTCCTCTTTGAAAAAAAAAAAACCACTTCCTTCTTCTTTGTCTTTCTTTTTTTTGATATTTGGCTCATCGAACATCATCGTCTCTGGGTCCTTCCGTTTCCTTACGTGCTCAGTCCCTTCACGGATTTAAGGCATCTTCTTGGGTTCCATTTGGAAAAATAATAATTAAAAAAAACTTTGTATACAAACTTCTTTAAAAAATTTTTTTTCTTATGTCACAAAGCAGCAATTTCTGTTTTAGGAAAAATATATAAATAACCTCTTTGTTCCCTCCCTCTCCCCATTCTACAAAAGGCAACCTCCCCAGGTCAAATATTTTAACTGTACATAGAGACTCTTCCCCCCATGTCCTCAACAAGGGCAAGTGACACTATTTACACAGCTGAGCTGGATGCGGTTGAAGGGGGAGGGGGCTTCCCTCACGAGGAATCGGTACAAGGAGAAGGTGGCGGCGGGTAGAGGTGGTGCGTGTAGCTCCGCTCTGTGTATGGGGAGGGCGGGCAGCTCTCATAGTTCTCCTCGGCGGACAAGTACTGGCTGCGTGGGGTTGGTGGTGGTGGCGTGGGCTCCGAATCGTAGTTGAGGTCGCTGGCATAGCCTTTGCCCCCCATGACCATCACTCGACGGCTGGGCGCGTAGTCGCTGTCACAGACGTCGGTGCTGCACGGGGTTGTGGGAGGGGCAAAATGGCGGTAGCTGTACGGCCTGTAACTGGGGAGAAAACATTAAGAGGCGTGTGAGCATCAACACCCGAAAACAGCCAAAGGTCTTCTCGAGCCATGTGACGTTGTCATCTGTTGCCATCACCAAGGAAGTAGGACATGTCCCAAAGGTGCTTTTTTCTCAAGAGGCAACTGGACTTTCTGGTTTTTCTTTGAGGACGTTTCGCTTCTCCTCCAGGAAGCTTCTTCGGCTCTGACTGGATGGTGGGGAACCAAAGAAGCTTCTTGGAGGAGAAGCGAAATGTCTTCAAAGGAAAACCAGAAAGTCCGGCTACCTCTTGGGAAAAAAAAAAAAAAGCACCTTTGGGACAACCATGACCCGGATGACTGAGAATCTCTGTAGACATTCAAGGAGGACATGATTTTTGGATCAACTTCCTCTTACAGAATGGGGGGCTCTTATATGAGATGGAAGGTGGCTCCATGTATGTCCTCCATCAAGCAGGCTTCCAAAAACTGCTTCCTATTTTCATGGTTGCTGAACCAGCAATCAAGACAGAAGAATTTCGTGCCTTCTACAGAGAGCCTGGCTCCTTCTTTTCTCCAGATGCAACACACATCGCTGGCAGAAAATGTCCTGAACCTATCGGGCAAGCAGCACAAAATTCAGGCTGGGGACATGCGGCCTTACCTGTACGATCTGTGCGTCGAAGGACTGTTGGACGAATAACCAAATTCCATTGTGTAGCGGGAATCCTCTGTTGCTGGTGATGGAGGAGGGTTCAAAATCTTTAAAGGGAGCATAGAAGGAGTGTCAGCTTCTAGAGAAGCAGCGTATTTGTTCCAAGGAAATATTTTTCTCCACACCAGGAAGGCATCCGCACTGAACACCAAACTGAAGTTGACTCATATATACTACAGTGCTGCTTTTGGAGAGGTATTTTCTTTTTGCTTATCACATTTAAATCTAGATGTGAGAAGCACATATTCTTCATAAATAAAATTTAAACTGACCAGTAGAGTATTTTGTTCACCACAGCCAAAAATCTTCCATCAATATACAAATTAAACCTTTTAGATTAGCCAGGATTCCATTCAATTACTCCACTGGATCTCCACAATCACCCTGGAGTTCCCACAATGATCAATAGATGCCATAACAATCAGTATCACAGCGTCCTTCCCACAAGGATGCTTAAGAATTCTCCCCTTATTCCTGAAATTTTAAGTAAATACTCTGATTTGAACTTTTGAAAAGAGTATATAAACAAGATATATTTTGGATTTCACATTTGGGGTAACTTTCTCAGCACAACCACCCAAACCAAAGTGGAAAGTACCAAAAGGCCTTTCGGTTTTTCTGACCAAGAGGTCACAGTCTTCCTTCTGCGAGACCAAACTGGGAAGCCAGGAAAAACAATTGTTAAGTTTCCGCTAAGATCTTTGATTGGTGCCCTTTGTTCATTGTTAATTGGTTCAGGTTTGGATTTCTGTAATCTAAAATTTGACCGTGTATTCTAATGGTCTGGGAAGAGTAAGCAAGCAAGCGACTAAAGAAATAGGGAAGGAAGAAGGGAGGAGGGAGGGGAGAGAGGAAGGAAATAAGGAAGGAGGAAGGGAAGAAGGAAATAGGAAGGAAGGAAGGAAGGGAGAGGAGGAAGGAAGAAAATAGGGAGGGAGGGAGGAAGGAAGGAAGAAGGAAGGAAAGAAAGAATATAAATAATGAAGAATGTGCCCTTCATCATAAAATGCTGCCAATAAAGGGAAGTGGGATAGGGCAACATGGTTAATCCCAACTTTTCATGCAAACTTAAGCTCACATTTTCTCCCAAGTTATTTATATGGTTCCATCAACTTTACTGAATTGCTTCAGTTTGGGCTGATAATCAATCTTTCAGATTTAGATTTTTAAAAAAGCCTCTTACTGGAGGGAAGTAGGTTCCTTTGATGCTGGAGGAGCTGCTGGAAGACGCCCCAGTGACGTGAGCTCGGTCATACGGTGGGCCGCTGCTTCCTGCCATGATGCTAAGTGAACTGATCACAGATTTACCGCGGGACATTCCTAAAGAAAACCAAGGGAATTCAGTTAAAGACTTAAGAGGAAGAGATACGTAGTTAAGCCTCACGTCCAACCTAATTTAACAGGTGTCCTGTTTACTTTATGATCACAGTGACCCAGAGGCCATTCTGAAGATGTATTTCCCAGGACCAATGGGGGCATTCTGGGGAAGGAGACAACTTGAGACCACAAAAAAGATGTGACTGAAGAATCTGTTTGCCCTCCCCTCTAATCTTACACACTAAAGAAGAGATGCAATTACACTTTCGCCTTCCCAAATGCAAGTCACAAATCTGCACCCTTTTTACAAGATTCCCAGCCACGTTGGACATTTTCTTAACAAGCAAAAGGCCTGTTGGATTTCTCCACAAAAATGATCTTGCTTTAATTTCCTTTCCAGTTAACCAAGGCAGCCCTGGCATTATGATTATCAGGATTATATCACGGCTCTGTAGCCTATGGTTGTGGTTGGTCCCTTTCGCTAGGAGATTGCCTACCTCTTTTCTTCGGTCCAATATTTCATTTCCACCTGAAACCAGGGTGGACACGGTTGGATCGGCCTTCCCTCCATTCCAGAGATTGATGGACAGATAATCCCTGAGCTCTTTTAGTCACTGTTTACAATTTTGCATATTGCTTGAAGAATGATGGTGAAAAACTTAGAATCAACTCTTACAGCTATTGCAATGCTATCAGTGGCCATAATAAATTCTCAACAAAAATGAAAACGGCTGGAATAGGTGTACATTATCTGTGCAAAAATTTGGCAGATAACCAGCTACTACTTGCACTGCTACTCCTCCCAGATAGATTTTGGACATCTTTTGATGCGCACCCACAAGGTAGTCCTCAACTTATGACCGGTCACTTAGCAATGGAAGTTACAACAGATCCCCCAAAAGGTACTTATGACCATTTTGATTCGAAGTTCCAATGGTTAGCTCACACCCTGCCCTTCGTGGACAGTGACTTTGCTTAACGGCTGATGTGTTTGCTTAATGACCATCACAAAAAATGTTGTAAATTGAGTTGTTGCATGTGTGTGTCTCAACTAATGACTGTCATGACATAGAACAGAAATGCCAGGCTCTATTATTGTCGTAAGTGGAGGTTTGTATGTCAAACCACTCTAAAAGAGTGTTAGTATTTTTTTAACAGGAAAAAGATAAGTGGAGAAAGGCAACCCTTCAGGCAGGATAAAGATTAATAAAAGGATGCATCATATGAAGTTATCAATAGTCCGGCTCAACTCAAGCATTGCAAGATGTTTGAAATATTTATTTCTTCTATAATTTCCTGGGTGAGTTGTCACATCATTGCTTTCCTGGTGTAGTACCTGTGCACCAGGTTGCCAAGTCTACTTTAAAGCGCCTACTATTGTTTTCTGAATCATTTTCCAAGCAGTGAAAAAGGTTGTTAAAAAAACCTGGTTGAGTCATGTCAGCCCATGTTCACGGGCCTATCTCTCGAGGAAGAAGAGAGGAAGTATAAATCTGACCTGGAAGAGATCCGGAAAGGGAGCTTGGGTGAGGCACATAACCCAGAGGCACAGAAGACGGTCCGTGGACAACGTAGTCATTGGTCATTGTTTCTCCATCTCCTTTCATGCGTGGGCACAGCACTCTCTGACAAACGAAGTACATAGCACCAACGACAAAAACCGTAAGGATCACACCTATGATGGAGCCGATTGTATTGGTGGCTGGTGGGGCTGGTTCTTCGGTTGTGTCTAAAAGGAAGGAGAAAAATCAGACTTAAGACAAGATCACAGCTCTGTAAAACTTCTCTATTCCTTAATACCAACAGCACTTACTTATATACTGCTTTACAGCCCTCTCTAAGTGGTTTACAGAGTCAATTGCCCCTCAACAATCTAGGTCCTCATTTTACCGACCTCGGACGGAAGGAAGGCTGAGTCTACCTTGCGCCTGGTGAGATTCAAACTGCCAAATTGCAGTCAGTCAGCAGAAGTAGCCTGCAGTACTGCACTCTAACCACTGTGCCACATAATGTTTTATGTCTATGTATATTTACCCATTAGTATGGCTGTTTAACTTATTATCCTTTGCATCTTTTCCACAATCTTCTCTAGTGGGCATCATCAGTATGATTGTTATTATTCTGTCATTTTTATGTACACTGACAGTTTATGTACCAGAAAAAAAATAAAGTATAGTTTAGCACAGCACAGTATTAGCATAGTATTAGTTTAGTAGTTTAGTATTAGTATAGTATAGCATTAGTACAGTATAGTATGATATTAGTATTAATATTAGTATAGTATTATTCTATTCTGTCCTGTCCTGTCCTATTCATGGTGGCGCAGTGGTTAGAATGCAGGCTAACTCTGCCCACAGCTTGGAGTTTGATCCTGACTGGCTCAAGGTTGACTCAGCCTTCCATTCTTCCGAGGTGGGTAAAATGAGGATCCAAATTGTTGGGGGCAACAGGCTGACTCTGTAAACTGCTTAGAGAGATCTGGAAAACACTGTGAAGCTGCATGTAAGTGCTATTGCTATCCTATCCTATCCTACCCTATCATTTCTATTTCTATTCTAATGTGTTCTAAAATTTGCCCAATTAGAATAGAATAGAAGAGAATGGAATAGAATAGAATTCTGTCTTGGCCAAGTGTGATTGGACACACCAGGAATTTGTCTTGGTGCAAATGCTCTCAGTGTACATAAAAGAAAAGATACATTCGACAAGAATCGTAAGTTACAACACTTAATGATAGTCATAGGGTACAATAAGCAATCAAATCATACTAGGAAACTGTCAATATAGATTGTAATTATAATTATATGGAAAGAGGGAAATATTATGAAATAACTGGCCTATTTTACTATATTGATACTTGACAGAAAAACTGAATTTTTGTAAAGCTGAGTATCTTCACACATGAGCAGCCTTCCCCATGATATACAAATTAAAGCAAAATTACAGAGAACAAATCAAACTGTGGGGTCCTTGGTGCTCTCACTCTCCCTTGGTTATTTTCTTGCAGGTGTGTCATTACCCAAATTAGGTTAACATCAACAGTACAAATCAAACCAAACACAATCATGTTTAGTTGCACACAGCAGCAAATTTTATCATTTACTTATTTTTGCATGCTGCTGAATAATTCTGATTCCCTGCAGATTACAACAAAATTAAAGACAATGAAACACAACAAAAAATAAAAACATAAAGAAAACATATGGGTATACTTACAGCAGCCCTGTTCATCTGAATTGTCATTACAATCTAGGTTGTGATCGCATTTCTTGTTTTTCCCAATGCACTGACCACTCGCACACCGGAACTGGTCAGTTAAACAAGGCGCTGGAGGACGGAAAACAAATCCGTCATTAATGGACAAGAAAAATCTTTAAAATGGCAAGTTAGGTATTCAACAAAAAAAAAAACATAAGACACCTAACCGCATCAGTGAACGTTTTAGACTGAACAGAAACAACCATTCCTTATCTTGGATTGCCTTTATTATTATATATACCTTATTTTAAAATTTGCAGCTCGCTCTTTATGGTAAAATTTTCCCAGGGAAGTGTATAATGAAAGGTACACTTTCAAAGCCATGATCTGGAGAAACTAAACATGTAAACTAGATTAACAAAGAATTTCAAAAGGGGCGGATGGCTTATTCAGGGTGAAATTGGGCCTCACAGTAAGTTACACTGCTTAGGCTAACACCAGCATTGCAAACAATGCCGGAATTGCATTGCCAAGGAACAAAAAATAAAAATAAAAATGGAGTTGCTGGCCACAAATGCACAACCACTCCCCCCAGTGGACAAAACTGCCAAATACAACTAATCCTTAACTTACAGCCATAATCGAACCCTGCAATTACAGATAGTCCTCAACTTACAACAGTTCACTTAGTGGCCGTTCCAAGTTACAACAGCACTGAAAAAAGTGATTTACGACCATTTTTCCCAATTACGACTGTTGTAGCATCCCCACGGTCACATGATTTATATTTGGATGCTTGGCAACTGACTCACATTAATGATGGTTGCAGTACCCCAGAGTCACGCGATCCCCTTTTGCGACCTTCTGACAAGCAAAATCAAAGGGGAAAGCCAGATTCACTTAACAACTGTGTTACTCATTTAACACTCCTGTGATCCACTTTACAACTGTGGCAACAAAGTTGGGGGCAAAACTGACTTAATGGCTGTCTTGCTTAGCCATGGGAATTTTGGTCTCAACTGTGGTCGAAAGTTGTAACAATTCCTACTTTGCTCAGGAACGCGGGATACCTTCACATTTCTTTTCGTCGGAGTTATCCTGACAATTTGGTTCTCCGTTGCACAGCAGGGCGGCATCAATACACTGCCCGCTCTCACACTGGAACTGAGAGTCGGAGCACAAGGGGCAGTTCTTCTCATCACTGGCATCTTCACACTCCGTGAACCCATCACAACGCCAGGCCACAGGGATGCAGTCAATCTCTCCTGTGTAACAGGTGAACTGCTGCGGGGAGCAAGTTGGAGGCTCTGGCGGGGAGAGGGGGGGGGGGAGAAATAACCCTCTACTTTCAGATGTAACCAAAAGAATAAGCGAAGTAGCTGCCTGAATACAGTGAAAAAGTATCTCTGCCCAAGCGGGAGTTACATATCTGGAAAACTGGGACTTGCTGGAAACATGCACGGATTGAACTCTCTCTGCCCATGATCAATGACTCTAGGAGCCATAGTTGTACATCAACGTACAATAGCAATAGCGCTTAGACTTATATACCGCTTCACGGTGCTTTACAGCCCGCTCTAAGCAGTTACTGTCAGCCTATTGACCCCAACAATCTGAGTCCTCATTTTACCCACCTTGGAAGGATGGAAGACTGAGTCAAAGCAATATGCTGACTCTGTAAACCGCTTAGAGAAGGCTGTAAAAGGCATTGTGAAGCGGTATATAAATCTCAGTGTTATTGCTATTAACATATGGCATTGTTACAGTAGCCAGGAGACCACAATGCTATTACATAGTAGTAGCTGGGCTTGCTAAGGGTACCAGCCCTATTATAGGACATGCTTGCGCACTTCCCAAAGGGTGCCACAGGAGGGTGGGACATGTGGCTCTTCCTGCAGCATCACCCAAGGCTTCCAACCCTTTGCAGAGCTGCCTCGCAAGTGGGAAGGTTCAGAGCCGCCAGGGATTTGCCTGCCCACACAGAGCACCAGCTCATCTCCCCACTGAAGTGGGAACCATCTATCAACTTGCACAGAAGGTGTTTTCGAATTGTTAGCTGGACAGAAACTGAGGTGAGTCGACAGGAGCTCATCCTGCCACGCAGTGCTTGGGCTCGAACCGCTGGTGCTGAGACCATCTCCAGCATCATTAAGCCACGGAGCCACTGCACCTATTTCTACCTAAATCAAGACTACCTTTAAAAAAAAAAAGTCTTACCTCCGCAGGAAAGTTCATCTTCAAGCAGGACTAGATGCATGGGACAGGAGCAACGTGTAGTTCCATCACTTTTTATAATGCAGATATGAGAACAGCCACCATTATCTTGGGAACAGGGGTGCTGTCCTGAAAGAGCATTCACAGATGGTATTTTATATCTCAACCACCTGTTTGCTTGGGCTTTTTTTTATTATATACTGTGATGACATGGGGCGTGACACAAAAAGAACAGTCACAAAAGTAGAATAAATTCCCTTTAATGCCTCCAACTTGGGCCTCAATGTCCAATTATCCTCGACATGATATCAAACTCTTCCAACAAACAGTCTATGAAGAAAGTAAATGCAGTCCAAACCAAAAGTAAAAATTATTAGAAATAAAAAAAACCCAACACAAACCACACTGGAGTCATTAACACAGCAAGCCAGGATAATAAATTGCAGACTTCCACAAGATAACGCAGCAACCACAGTTGGGAAGACAACAAAACCCAGATAAGCCTCGACCAAGATAAAGCAAGTTTTGCTTCCAGCAAAGAGCTTATTTAAAATGCCCCACTTATATCCTGTTCTCCCAGGTAAAACTAATGAAAGGGATCAGGGCCTTTTCCTCTCCCATAAGCCACGTTGCTCCCTTCCCCGTTCCTCTCTGTGTGCCCCTAGGATAAAGAGGGGGTGGCCCTGGGTCTTCCTCTGAAAGCCCAGTCAGACCGTGCCCTTCCCCCGTTTCTTCCACAGCCACCGGAGCCACACTCCCACTCCCACTCCCTGTCAGCTCCTCAATCTCCTCCTCAGAGTCAGACTCCAACGAGGGCATGACATATATTATGGATTTCAGACTGCCTCCTAGGAAACCAAGAGTGGCTCAAAATCTCCACGAAGAGCAGCTCTCCGGTATCAATAATTCTTTGGAAAAGTACAAAATAGTTTAAGCAACCAACATAAAGGCAAACTTTAGCACCAAAACTTCTTTTCAATATCTCGGAATGTAAATGCGAAGCTATCTCTGCATGATGACATTTCTGGGATGTTCTAAAGTCAGTACAGTATCCCAACATGTGTAAGATGGCCATCTTGTCAAACTTAACTGATGCGCTTTCCTTCCAAAGAAAGTTAAACAATAAAAAATAAGCTGCAAATCTAAAATCCCTGGGGGGAAATAAGCTGCAAAATCTAACATTTTCCTGGGGCAAAAATTCTTTCTAGCAATGCCTATCATTCTGATGCAGCCAAAGGCAGATGTTGCTAGGCTGATGCCAAAATTTCATACGGGAAGGAACAAATCACCATGGTTTTAGAACGTTAAAAAACGTTAACTACAATCTAAAAAACTGAAACATGTGAAGTCTCTATGCTGTGAAAAAGCAGAAGTGCTATAGTATCCTAGCCAGGCCATTAAAAGAATAGGTGTAAAGAAAGAGCTGCTTTCTCCAGGTATCTCAGGTACCTGCTAATCTGAGAAATATATTATTTTGCATGGGATCTGCTGTAAATGGAAATCTTCTATTAAACATCAGGAGCTTTTAGACCAGTATTTCTCAAACTTGGCAAATAGGAGATGTGTAATCTTCACTCTCAGAATTCTCCAGCTAATAAATTATAGGGAAACTGTTTTGAGAGAGATAGCATGTAAGTTCTTCTTCAATGTGGTGAAACACTTACGGTATTCCTGCATGTTGAGTTCTTTTACGGCATGGATGTCGCTCAGCTGAGCAATTCGAGCCTGAACCTTTGTACGTCCCTCTTGGCGAGTCATGTCAATTTTCTCAATCATCTGTTGATGACGATCAATCCAGTAAAGCCATTTTTCAAATACGGTCAGGCCTATAGGCTGCAGTATGTTGGAATCTTCTAGTACTATCCGATTTGCACCTTTGAAATGGGGGGGAAAAGGGGGGGAAAACTGAACCAAAACAAAATCTTTGTAACTTCACATACGCTGAGACTGTCTCTTAATGTGAGATGACTAAGCCATAATGCTGAATGAGCTCAATAAAAGGCACAACAGCTGTAAACAAATTTCATACGCTTCAAGTTTATGTTTGGAAATGAAAGGTACCAAAAGATTTGCCTCCTACTCTAATAATACAACATCTCCTAAGCTGATTGCCAGAAGTTTCAACATAAAGACAATATAATTTGCATAACAGATATTAAATTGATGGGGCATCCAGTCACAAGATGCAATGCATAACTTCTATGATTTTAAAAGTGGACTACCCACATCTAGTGCAACAACATCAATATCAGCAACAAATAAAAAGTTCCCGATTTAAGTTGATTAGCATGCATTTCAACAGAAAGTGAAAGGTAAGTATATTTAACATGTATCTAAAATTGATCTGAATGGAACCACACCTGTTCTGAGATATGATAACATCCCTGGGGGGGAGGGGATAATCTTCCTAGCGATGCCTGTCATTCTGATGAATCCAAAAGCAGATGTTGCAAGGCTGATGCCAAATCTCATAGGGGAAGAGGCAAACCCTGCCTCCAGGAAATACGGCTTTGGAGCATTACAAATCACAATGTTATCAACTGAGTTTAACATTACAATCTAAAAAACTGAAACAGGTAAAGTCTCTATGAAATGCTAGAGTGTCCTAGCCAGGCCATTATAAGAATATGTGGGGGGGGGGGGGAGTCTGCTTTCTCCAGGTATCTCTCACCTGCTAATCTGAGGAAGGAATTCTTGCTACTACACCGTTTCCCCCAAAATACGTCCTATCCTGAAAGTAAGCCCTAGGTTGATTTTTACACATGTGCCCAATATAGGCCCTACCCCCCCCCCAAAATGAGCCCTAATTAAGATCCTGCTCGCTCCAGAGTGGACAGGTAAAAATTAAGCTAGGGTGGGGATGGGGGAATGGAGCTGCCCTACTACTTACCTTTGGACAATTGTAGCTGGATGGCTTCCCCCCAAAATAAGACCTGGTGCCTTTTTCGGTGGCAATATATCTGTGTGTGTGTGTGTGTGTGTGTGTGTGTATACACATACATACATACATACACACATATATACATAAGACAGGGTCTTATTTGGGGGGAAACACTGAATCAATACCTGTTCTTCCTCAGAAGATCTTCCCCAAAAGATTCTCCCTCCAAATTCCAGGGATTTTATTCTGTAGTATCTTCTATTCTGGGTAGAATTGGGGGCATCTGAAGAATCACTGGGGTCACTCCTAACTCAGAAGTTTGCACTGGTTTGTAAACCTGACTCATCGTCCTTGACAGGGATTGGTGAAAGCGGAGGTTTTATATTTTTTAAAGGAAAATCAGTGGTTCCAGCTCTCCCACCAATGCAGTAATAACACCCTCTAAATCTCATCCAACCAAACCACAAGAAGTAATTTTCTAACCACAGAATAAGCCTTCCAGAAACCCCAATTATGACTCGCCAGTGTGTTCTATCATACAGAAAGAGAAGAAGAAAAAAAAGAGAGCAAGAGCCTTAGTAAAAATGCTCTTGCGGTTTATTGTAAGGAAAGCAGAGGTGGGAATACAGATAGTCTTTGACTTACAACATTTCACTTAGTGACCGCTTAAAGTTACAAAACAGTGACATATGACCATTTTTCACACTTACAACCTTTGTAGAGTCCCCGTGATCAAAATTCATATGCATGGCAACTGATTCAGACTTACGACCGTTTCCCAAGGTCATGTCATCACCTTTTGACAAGCAAAACAATGGTGAAGCTAGATTCACTTAACAACCATGTTACCAACTTATCAACTGCAGTGATTCCCTTAACATCTGTGGTAAGAATGGTTGTAAAATGAGGCAAAGTTCACTTAACTAATGTTTCATTTAACAACATAAATTTTGGGCTCAATTGTGGTGTATGTTGAGGACTACCTGTATAGGAGAATCCAAACCTGAAATAATTAATAATGAAAAGGAGAAAATGGATTTTTGCAAGCCATAGCTGTTTTTTAAAAATTGCTTGCCCAAGTTGGAAAAAGGATGCCGTAACGCCTAAAGCTCAACTAACTATTCCGGTCAGTTTAATAACACATGGGTTACTGTTTTAATGTCTGTATCAGAATACATACACGCATGTGGTTATTGTACATGAGACTGGTGAATTTCCCTATTTTCTCTGTAATAGGCAGTGCACCAAATTTGAGCCAAGGTAACACAAGAGGAATACACAAGTTGTTACAAAGATAGCTAGGAATCACCCATGGAAAAGCTGCAATTACACCATAATAGGGGAGAGAACAATGCTGGGCTGTATTAGATCTAGTGCCATGCATTTGGGTTCTTAGATTAGCACAGTAAAACCATGGCATATTCTGGAAAGCATTGCATTACAAGCCCAAGTATAAAAGGAATGTGGTTAGAGCACAACTTTTGTAACAAGCAGTTTTAGTTTAGTTTAGTTTACTTCACTTTATTGTCATTGCACCTTGAACAGTGAAATCAAACACCATCTTCAGTGCACATCATGACCATGACCTTGAAAATAAACACAAACATACATCCTTCACCCTTCACACATTGAACCGGAAACCCCTGACACTACACCAACACATACAGCAGAATTCAAAAGAGCTACTGTCCTGGGATAGAAACTGTTTTTCAGCCTATTTGTCCTTGTTTTTATTATTCTGTACTGTCTGCCAGATGGTAATAGTTCAAAAAAAAAGGGTGCCCAGGATGAGATGGATCTTTGAGAATGTTTGGAACTTTCTTAAGGCAGAAGGAGCTATAAAGCTCTTCCAAAGAGGGAAAAGGGCAACCCATGATCTTCTGGGCAATGACTTTGACCCTCTGGAGTGCTGTCCTTTCTTTCCCCTGTGCAATTGGCAAACCATACAGAGGTGCAGTAAGTTAAAATGCTCTCTACGGTGCAGCGGTAGAAGGTCACCAGCAGTGTTTTAATTCAGTTGCTGTTTTCTGAGCAGCCTCAGGTTGTATAATCTCTGCTAATCTTTGCCACACGGTTTGATTTTCAAAAGGAAGGTATGAAGAAGGCTATTAATTAGGGATGAATTGAAATTTAAAAAACCTTTATCTTACCAGAAAGATCGCTGCTCTCGATTCTCCGCAGGTCAGAATCTGCCCAGAATAACTTCCCCAAGTTGCTATCAACGGCCAAGGCAACGGGTTTACTCAGACCGCTGGAAAAGAGGACCTCCCGTTCAGTTCCGTCTAACGCTGCCCTCTCAATCTTAGGGGGAGATCTTTCTTGGAGATTGGTGAAATACATGTACCTGCAAAACGAAAGACAATCAAGTTATTTCATGCGTGGCCTTTGTTTCCTGTCCCCCCCACTGAATCAGCAGACTGGATATTGTTGGACTGCTTGTGGATGCAGGTAGGAGAACATTAACTAAAAAGGACGTAAGAGGTGGTAGCAAACAGCTGGTTTTGAAATAATTGAATGTGGTGCACATTGGGTGGGAGGCTATAAGAAAATCAGAAGCTCAAGGTTGAATAAAGCTTCTGGAAAAAGACAATTCCACACTATTGCCAAAGAAGCTGCTTGGAGTTACATGGAATTCAATTTTTTATGTTATTTAAAACTAATTAAAAACACAACCAGGAAAGTTTGCATCCAATTTTCCAAAGTTTTGATGGATCAGGGTTACTTAGGGTTCACAGTCTGAAATGCAGATAATCTTTGATGTCATTTTTTTTAAAAAAATAATTGTATTGTTGTATTTGAAAAATAAACAGAAAAGCTGCATGTTAAAAAGCAGTTAATATCTTAATCTGTTAATTATGACTGCATACATAATTTTAAGCTCTCATTAACGAAATACAGTACATTAACTAGAGATTAAAACGCCACCAACTGTTCTGGGTTTTCTCCCTCTTCACTTTCTAGCAGGAAGAATATTTAAATTTTTAAAATATTCTGTAGTTTACAAAAATGTGAGACTAAATAGTTCCTAAACATTTTATTTTATCCTTCTGCTTCTATAAAGATTAGGAAGCTGCTTGATTTATGGAGGATTCTCCTACTCATTTATTTTATCTGTATTGCACACACTATTTACAAAATTCTGCTACATATAATCCTTTAGTTTCATAGATGAAGACACCGTTAAAATTCTTAAGATGTTATAAAACAATTTCACATTTCTGTACTGATTTATTATTACAATTATGTGCTCTCTTTATTACAAATATTGCACCACTGATTTTAACTTGTTTATTCCATGTTTTCCTGGACCTATTTTTATTTTGTGTAATATAGTTTAAATCAGGGGTGTCAAACTCCAGATCCGTGGGGTACTAAAATCCGTCCCACGGGGTTGGCCTGGAAATATCAAGGGACCGGCCCGCGGTGACTCTGGTGGCTAAAACAGCCTGCATGTGCCCCCCTGCGCCTCGTTTTCACCCTCCATGGTCTCCTGTGGCACTCTGCCGACCGAAACCAGGCTGTAAACTGAGCCCAAAACTGTCCAAAAACCAGGCCCAAAACTAGCAATGCACCGCTGGCCCGCAGAGGAGTACAACAGTGCTGATCTGGCCCTCAAAGAAATCCAGTTTGACACCCTGGTTTAAATCAAGTGTTTTTCGAACTTAGCAACTTTAAGACGTGTGGACTTCAAGTCCCAGAATTTCCCAGACAGCATGGTGAGGGAATGGAACTGTTAAGGAATTTAGGAAAGTAATAAAAAAATATTCCCACTCTTTTAAGTTTGACAAATTTGAAAAGGGATATAAAAAAACTTTTTTTTTTTGTTCACAATTTTCCCTTCTTTCTCTCATGGCTTCCTAAATGCTGGTGCTCCTTGAAGTTTCTAGAAATCAAAAGTGAAAATTAAAAAAAATTGTACCAATTCCTAAGAGTTGTTCCTTGCTTTTCCTCATGATTTACATACCTGAACTAAAATGTGCACAACCATTAAAGGCATTTCATTCGTTTAGATAACGCACATTTTAGAATGTGAGTGTTAGCGCCTCAGGATTTATATTGTGATATTGATTTTCTTTAACACATTCAAACATAAATCGGTTGACATGGCACAGCAGAAAACAAGACCAGGAGAAAAGATAAAATCAAGAGATAAAAGGATCTGGAGCTGGAATGTCTATAAACATTTCCCATCCTGCAACCCGCTTACCCCTTCTCTGGATTCACAACAATAGCTCTGGGCCGATCCTGTTCGTTTTTCAACACCACGCCCATCAACCGTCCATCCAGGCGTGTGACGTTGATAACGTTTGTGGCTTCACAAGTCCAGTAAATGTAACGGCTATAAATATCAATACTCAGATCATATGGCTGGATATCTGGATTTTGGTTGGGGACAGGACTCATCACAATGGTAGAACTCTGGAATGAAGGTGCAAGATACAGGATGCTTCAAGGACTCCATCAGAAACAAACTGGAACTTGACACAGACCTACTTAGTTTATTATAGAAATTATAATAAATTATAAACAAATTATAGAATAATAAATTATATAATAAATTATAAACATATTATAGAACTCTGCCATTCTCCCAACCTGGTATCTCCCATATATATATTTTTATATATATATATATTTATATATTTATATTTATATTTATATTTAGACAGTCCCACCAGCTAGCATACACAATGATCAGTAGTGGTAAAGGACAATAAAGTTTGTTATTGTTTGTTCTTCTTCACTGAAGAAGAGATTGTAAGAATGATAGCAGCATAAATGGTGAAAAAAAGAATCAAATTCAACTTTCCTGGTTAAGCAAATATTGACAAACCCTACAATTAACTGTATAAAAATACTGTATGTGATACATACTTTTTATATTAAAAAAATATCTCTAGAACTGTGAACACTACATTAGACTGGTTTGATGTTTTTATCATTGTTTTTATAAGCTACCAAAGGTTATGGAATTTAAGATTGATTGTCATATGTATAAATCTTATAAATAATACGTAAATAAATCTCAAGAAAAGTTGAACGGTTTGTTGGAAATTCTTTTGACTGCAAAAGAATAAAAACATCAATTCATGTGTTGAGAAACAGAAGATGTGTTAATCCCATCTGAAGATTCTTTTAGGTCTGTGTCATTTTTTGGGCTACCCTCCACAAATGGGAGGATTTGTGAATCTTGCTATTCTGATAAAACATCAAATACTCAAAAGAGAGATACACTCAAAAGATGATAAATTTTAAAAGTCGTGTTTCACTGGCATCGCAGGCTGGTCCTTTGCTGTTTCCATGGCAGCCCTGTGGGCCAGATCTAAGCACCCCGCTGGCCAGATCCAACCCACGGGTTTTGAGCTTGACACCCCTGGACTAGGGGGTGAATGATAGCAGTGCTCCAGTATTTGAGGGGTTGCCACGAATAAGACAGGGATTGACCTATTCTCTGAAGCATTTGAAGTGCAGAGCAAGAAGCAATGGAAAGAAGCTAATCACAGACAAAACCAACCTAGAACTATGGAGAAATTTCCTGACAGAACAATTAACCAGTGGAATGGCTTGCCTATAGAACTTGTGGGTGCTCCAACACTGGAGGCTTTTAAGAAGAGACCAGACAGCCATTTTTCTGAAATAGTATAAAGTCTCCTGCTTGAACAGGAAGTTGGACTAGAAAAGACCTCCAAGGCCCCTTCCAACTCTGGTTTTTTTTTGTTAATTGTCTTGAAAAAGCATGTCTTTTTAACTCAGTTCATCTCTGGCCCTTTCAGTATCAAAAATTTGAATGTGTCTATTCAGATCTCATGGCTTAAAAATTAAGAAACTGGCCTAATCCCATGTCTACGAAGATAGAGAATTATTTATATATACGACACATTTAAACAAAGACCTTCTGAATATTGTATTTGGTGAGGTGTGATGGGCTTTATTCATGTATCTTTAATACATTCATACTGTAAAATTAAGGTCTAACTAAACTCAATGCTGAATTTGCCCTCCTTTACCCAAAATTAAGATATTCCTATTTTTCAGTCGATTTCCATCTAACAGTTTAATAACCAGCATATTCTATTGCACAAGCAACAGCATTTATAAAGTGTTGCAAACATTAAATACGGTAAGACAAGAATTGTTTTGCCTCTTGTCTCTCTTTGAAAACTGAACAGCCCTCATTTAGGTACCTGACTGCCATCCTCTTGTGACCTCCTGATAATGTTTTGGCGAGAGTCAATCCAGTAAAGCTGCTTCTCCAGTGGATCATAGTCGATTGCCCGAACATTTCTGAGGCTGTGTATCGGAAGGATGATCTCTGGACTCTTCAACCCATCAATCACCATACGATTGATTGCATTCTTTTGACTGAAGAGCAAGAAACTTGTAGGGGCTTACAGAGAAATGCAAACACAGAAGGGAAAAGTGTAAGTTAGGCTGAAGATGTTAAGATCAAAACTCTGAAAATATTCCGAAGTGTCCCACTGAATGAAAAGATAGCAGCAATTAAAGGAAAGGCCTTCCTTTGTAGAAAAAATTGAGCCCAAATAGACAGATTGGAGAAAGGAAGGTGCTATTCAAAGGGAAGTTCTTTGGGGTGATGAGTAGAGAAATTGTAGCACCATCTTTAAAAATAGAAAATACTTTTTAGCCACATAGGTTAAAATATCCAAATCTGGTTTGCAAATCTAGTTAATAATGTTCCCAGGCAATATTGTTAAAAATAGCAATTAATGGGTAACCAATGCACCTCTAAGAAGTGGTGGGGGGGAAAAACCATAATCCTACAGGTGTGCCTCTCAAAATTTTTCCATCTTCTGTAGCCTCTCCGGATTTGACAAAAAGATGCAAAACTTTGTGATTAGGAATAAAAAAATAGCCTTGGTTCAATTCAACAATCTTATCTGAGTTATCAGCAGAAAAAACACTGGCCTCAGTTTATGGCAAGTGAACCTTTAGGAATGCAAGTTAACACCCCCAGTCCGTGTTCCTGGCTTACCACTGCATGTTCTGTTGTCGGGGTTCAAGGAGTAATGAGCAGGACATCCACAGACAAAGCCACCTACGGGCACGGCCAGGCAGAGGTGGGAGCAGTGCCCATTGCTGGAAGCGCATTCATTCCAGCCAGCTTGCCGGGATGAATGGAAGACGAGAATGTCCATCACATAATCCAGGTGGTTTTGGATGATGGTCCGATTCTGTCCGCTGGTCTTGTTGGCTCGTTCGATGCTACGTCGGCTCCAGTCTGTCCAGTAGATGTAATCTTGGTATTGAGTCAGGCCAAAGGGATGCGGTAAATCATCGGCTATAACATCACGGTCAAGGCCTGGATTTGGGGAAGGGGATGAAATGAAATGAAAGAAAGGTGGAAGATCACTAGAGGTATCACCCCTGCAGCCTATCACTAACACCCTAAGAAATTATCTACAGGTAGTCCTTGACTTATAACAGTTCATTTAGTGACCATTCAAAGTTACAATGGCAATGAAAAAAGCGACTTATGACCATTTTTCATACTTGCAACCTTTGCAGTATTCTCCATGATCATGGGATCAAAATCCAGACACTTGGCAACTGGTTCATGTTTATGACCACTCCTGTGTCCCAAGGTCACGTGATCCCCTTTTGTGACTGTCTGACAAGCAATGGGGACATCAGATTCACTTAACAACCGGGTTACTCATTTATTAACTGCAGTGATTCACTTAACAACTCTGGCCAAGAAAGGTGAAAACTCACTTAACAATTGTCTCACTTAACAACAGAAATTTGGGGCTCAATTGTGGTCATAAGTTGAGGACTTCCTACCCTTGACTTACGACTGGTTGTCTAGCAACTGTTTGAAGTTACAAACAGTTACCCTCCCCAGAATGTTATTTATGCCCTGGTTCTGAAATTCCAGTGGTTGTCCCCCTTCCCCGTGGTCATGTGATCAAACATCGGGCACTTGCAACTGGCCCCAATTTATGACAATTTAGAGCGTTCCATGGTCACATGACTCAACTTATGACTTTTTGCTCAAAATGACTCATAATTAGCAATAGGTTTGCTCGACTGATGCAACTGTAAAGTTGGGGCGGCCGTGTGGGTGACCTGCTTTTCACCATCACAATTTACAACTGAAGCGGGCAGGCTCTATTACGACCGTAAGTCGAGGACTACCTGTGCGTTGCCATGAATGCCCTGTTTCACGCACATTGCTCATCCCTCACGTACAAAGTAGAATCTGTATCGCTTGGAATATTATGAAGCTTGTAAATAAAATACAAAACGGCCCAAACTATTGCACTTATCAAAGAAACAAACAATGTGTATAATATTAAGAGCCATGGTGGCCTAGTGGTTAGAATGCAGTACTGCAGGCTAAGTCACTGCTCAATTCAAATTCAATCCTGATTGGCTCAAGGTTGACTCAGCCTTCCATCCTTCCAAGGTGGGTAAAATGAGGACCCAGATTATTGGGGGAAACAGGCTGACTCTGCAAACCGCTTAGAGAGGGCTGTAAAAGCACTGTGAAGTGGTATTTAAGTCTAAGTGCTATTGCTATGTGTATAATATTCCACTGCTGGAATACAGGTGTAGGAAAAATGTTATTTTTTGAATCATAAGTATAAAAGCCTGTTTCTCTTCTTCAGAAAAGAAGTCTAAAGCTTAGGCTGTCTGGCTCAGGTAGCAGCATCTTGTCAAGTCTTGGTGGTATCAGAAAAACACTGCTTCCCTTTCACCAGGTGGTCATTAAGAAATTTATTCAAGGGTGAAGGACACATCTTGGCAATAGTACTGAAATGGTTTGGCACTGCTTTCCTTTGAGATACTTTTGGAACTTCCAAGCCCTAAAGAGTTCCTTGCGGGCTCCCATCCAAGTCTTACCCAGGCCTAATCTTCCCTATCTTTTGGCCATCATCTGTAAAATGTCTTATTTAGCTAGTGCCAAAAAGAGATTAAGCTGACAACCGGTGTGCCTGCAGGGAGAAGGAATTTCTTAAATGGGGCCCCATAAGGCCTCGCTCGTTCTGAAGAGTTCAGACATTGGAGTATGGAGAGTGTCTTCTTGGGAATACTGTGGCCCCAAACTGTTTTTAAATTTAATTCAATGTGATTTTTTGACACTGTTCAGAGTCCAATACGTGTCTGAAAAAAAATTAGCTTAAGCTACATTTCCATTATCTTTCAGGAATCGTAATCGCAAAATGGGACATTTTTTCTGATGATAATAGTTTCATTTCCCACCTCTGGAAGACAGTTTGCAAGGGTTCCATTTGAACCTGCTTTTATTTTGTGGTGTTAATGTGTACATTTTGCTCCATATCCAAACAGCACTAAAACATCAATGGATATAATTTAACTTGTAGACGACAGTTCTTGGTGAATTGACTGTGTCATAAATCAACGTCTAGAACTTTCCATAGTTGGTATCAATATTTTTTCACCTTTTCGCCTTTCTATTAATTTTGAGGTAAAAGGTAAAGGTTCCCCTTGCACATACGACTTGCTAATCTTTTCTGACTCTAGAGGGCGGTGCTCATCTCCGTTACAAAGCCGAAGAGCCAGCACTGTCGAAGGCGTCTCCATGGCCATGTGGCTGGCATGACTAAACACCGAAGGCGCACAGAACACTGTTACCTTCCCACCAAAGGGGTCCCTATTTTTCTACTTGCGTTTTTACCTGCTTTCGAACTGCTAGGTTGGCAGAAGCTGGGACAAGTAACAGGAGCGCCCTCCGTTACGTGGTGCTAGGGATTCGAACCGCCGAACTGCCGACCTTTCTGATTGACAAGCTCAGCATCTTAGCCATTGAGCCACCATGTCTCTTAGTAATTTTGAGGTGTAACTTAGTAATTTTGAGGTGGCTAATACTAAATAAAACGTGAACTACAAGAAGTCATTAAATTGTATGAGGAAGAATGGAAGGCCCTGAGAAGGCTTTGGAGAAGACTGAGAGGGAGATGCAGGAGGAAGCTCCTTCCCAAATGTCAGATAGCGTTTGACTTTGCAGTGGGAAATTCCACTCCAAGAAGTCCTGTCCTGCATATCTTAATTCCAAAGGAAAAATACCCTCCCAGAATCCCTTGTGCCCCACCCCTTATGCAGCTGGCAACCAGAGTTTTCAATACAGGGACTATCCTCCTTGCAATAGAGACACCTGAAGGAGAGAATTCTCCATCATCCAACTGACCTGTGGAAATCACACTATCTACATGAGCCACGTTTGTTAAACAGCACACCCACAAACCTGCACGATCCTGGCATAATGAAGACTGTTAGTTGATAATTACGGCCAAGCCAAACTCACCCAGCATATTTGAAGATTCAATCAAATTGGTATCCAAGTCAGTCCAATATAATCTTCTTTTGACGTAATCGATTGTCAGACCATTTGCTCGGCCCACGTCTGGCACTAAAGTGCTGCGTTCACTACCATCCATGGCTGCTCGGTCAATCTTGGGTTTCCCACCCCATTCGGTCCAGTACATAAACCTGAAGGCATAACAAATATTCCATGTTTATTTCATAAAGATGCACAAGCAATCAGGAGTAGAAAATAATTCCGAATGATATAATTTTGGTTTACAGAAGGGAACTTTAGTACAAGATTATCACTGTATCTGCTCATTTGTGTAAAACTCTGAATTGAATTTTAAACTAATTTGGCGCAATTGCCCTGGCTGGCCAATTCAGGGGAGTTTTATGCAGATGTAAATAATAAAATAGCTAAGAAAAACGGGACTAAATGGAATTACCCAATTATAAAATCTAGTGCATTATTGTATCACAGTTTTTTATCCTTATTTTGATTTATAGATGTATTTCTGCCCAATTTCATAAACTATCTTAAACTGGTGGGTATCTTACAATATCTGATGGAATTTTTTAGGGCTGATTTCTCGGACATCAGGAAATAGATTAAAATTTCAGTTTAGTTGCTAAAATACCAAGAATTTGAGCAGCTCACCCTTCAGCAGGATCGAGAGCCAGAGCCCGGGGGCTGTCAAGATCCTTCCAGACTAGAACTTGCCGATGTTGTCCGTCCAATTTTGACACTTCGATACGATTTGTTCCCGTATCTGCCCAGTAAAGATTCTTCCCTAACCAATCCACAGCCATGCCTTCTGGATAATCCAATCCAAACTCAACCACGTGTTCCAGAGCACTTCCGTTCATGAACGCTCTACTGATGGTCTGCAAGGGAGAGAAAGGGTGGGGGGTATGAATATTTATGTGCCTGTGCTACCTATCAGTATAGTTGAGAAAGGATCCAAGCAGACAAAGCTATTTGTCAAATAGAGCTTGATCTCTAATAGAACGCAGGTGCATTTTTCTCTCTCCTCGTTGGCATGATACTACTAACAAGCATGAGCAAAGTAAAGAAGGGGCTACTCATAGTCCTTGACCTACAATGGTTCATTTAGTGACTGTTCAAAGTTACAACGGCACTGAAAAAAAAAGTGACGTATGACCGTTTTTCAGAGTTACAACCTTTGTAGCATCCCCATGATCCTGTGATCAAAATTCAGATGCTTGGCAACTGGTTCACACTTATGACCATTGCTTATCCCAAGGTCATGTGATCCACTTTTGTGACTGTTGGGCAAGCAAAGCCAACAGGGAAGCCAGATTCACTTAACAACTGGGTTACTCACTTATCAGTTGTGGTGATTCACTTAGCCACTGTGGCAAGAAAGGTTGTAAAATGGGGCATAACCTACTGAACAAATGTTTCACTTAACAACGTAATTTTGGGCTGTGTGTCAATTGTGATCGTAAGTCAAGGATTACCTGTACCTTGTTTAGAAGAGGGAAGAGAAGAGAAGACGTATTAACATCTCCAGCATTTGGACTTTACTTATCTGCTACAAGAACAAAGACTTGGTCCGGTGAGTCCGGCTTGATAAAATGTTCTTCAATCAATTTTAGTAATACACTAGAGATATGCTAACCATGGTCAAGGTGACCACATTACCTTCAACGAGATGTCTGTCCAATATATGCGATTGTCAGTGACATCAAAATCCAGGGCAGAGGCTTCCTTGACTCCTGTTAGTGGAATAGCAACATTATTGTTGTTTGTCTCGAGAGAGATTCGCCTGATATCGGCTCTACGGGAAAATAGCAGGAAGGCTTCTGGGACAATGCAGGTCTTCATGTCACTCAGGAGCTCCAGGCCGATGGGGCAGGCGCAGCGCAATCCTTGGGGCCTATACAAGCAGAGGTGGCTGCAGCCCCCGTTGGATTCTGCACAAGGATTTGTACCTGAAGAAAGCAGAAACGAAGCCTTTAGCGTTGCTAAATCTTTATCATTGCTCCATAGCTGGTCAGGTCCAAAGAATGGAGTTACTTCTGAACTGTTTATGGCTGTTCGCCCACGGACAGAATCTTGCCTGACTAAAGCAATTATCTGCAATAACTATAGATACGCTTTGTGGAAGGATCTATCCCTGCCCTCTTCTGCCCACCAGACATTCCAAGCTCTGCTGTCTCTTAGCTTCCTGGGAAAGAGCCACTTGCTCCTGCAACTTCAGACTACATTCCATCCTAATAGCTAATACAGCCTGCCAGAAAATGTGACAAAACTGCTTTCTCCAATGCAAATATAGGTAGTCCTCAACTTACAACAGTTCGTTTAACAATGGCATTGAAAAAAGTGACTTATGATAGTTTGTCCCAATTATGACCTTTTCAGCATCCCCATGGTCCTGTGATCAAAATCCAGATGCTTGGCAACTAGTTCATACTTATGACCATTGCAGTGTCCGGGGTCATGTAATTACCTTTTGCAATCAGTAGAAGGTCTCTCCCCAACCTCCCAATTTTAGATGGTATTGAAAGGGTCTGTAGTGAGAATTCTCAAATCCTCATAAATTCCTTGTTCTTCTGGTTAGGGTACTTAAAAGTATCCACAAAATAATTTCTTTGGTTTACAGGGGAGGAGTTAGATGTTTAAGACACTCACCCAGGGTCTTGTGGACGTTGGTAGCCTTGAGGCCCATGAGATCAGGTAGCTGGTCAATTAGGATCTCCCTTTCTGCTGTCCGCTTATGAACCCGCTCAATACTTCTTCTTTGCCAGTCTGTCCAATAAATATACTCCCCCAGCAGAGTGAAACCAAAGATGTGGGGCAGCTTGTCTTCCACAAGGACTCTTCTGCTGGTTCCATCCGTTTTCATGACCTTCGCAAGTACAAACACACATACATACACAAGATGGGTTTGAATCCTTTAACTCACCTGCTTGCAACAATGCAGTTCTCGTCAGGCAACGCAGTTCAATAAATCTCAAACTGGAACTCAGAAAATTAATGCCGTGTTTCTCCAACAATACGGCCCCCACCAATAGGAAGGCCCAGCATGATTTCTAGGCATGAAGTGAAATTAAGCCCCGCCCCCCAAAATTTAGGCCTATTTAAACCATGCGTTTCCCCGCCATTTCTCACATCGTTTGTTAGAATTACTCGAGGTGAAGAGAAAAGGGGGGAAGGGAAGGGGGGGGGAGAAAACTTGCCTTTAAGAGCGCCATGCAGGTAGCCTAGGCTAGAATACTCTGATCTACTACCAACAGAACATTGGCCGATGGAAGCTCCCCCAAAGGCAGGCTCACCAGCCGCTTCTATCGGCCAGTAGAAGCGGCTGGTGACTCTGCCTTTGGGGAGCTTCCATCGGCCGATAGAAACGGCCTCGTGGTGAGGGAAGCGCGCATTAGTTGTCTTTGAATCTACCAGCGGGGCAGGAGAGAAAGCACACGCGTATCTGTGTCTGGATAAAAATGGTGAGATTGCGACGGAGGGAATGGGAGAAAAGGCCTTAGCCCGAATGTGTTCTTGTTTTGCTTTCCTGCCCGTTCTCTGATCAATCTCTCCGGGGCAGCTTTTGGCCTAAAATCGCCCAGGTCTCCCTCAGCTAAAGGAGAGGGGAGGTCTCCAAAGACCATCCCTAACCTCTGCCATTTGAGAGGACCGAAGTCATTGCTTCTCAAAGTTAGACCCGCAAGTTTTTCAAAAGTTCTTCTGAATGCCTCGGACGTCCGATGAAATCCAGAAATGTCTTGTGATTGAACTCAACTAAAAAGAAAGACCTGCACCTCGTCACCAAGTCCCTGGTTTTACGGCTCCTCTCTCATCCCAAATTATGCCGAAATAAGGGATTCCGAGCCTGGCGTTGGTTAATTAGTTAATGACAGGCGCTCTTTCAGGCACTCAGAGAGAGAGAGAGAGAGAGAGAGAGAGAGAGAGAGAGAGAGAGAGAGA